ACGGAGGCTGAGCTGCGGTTCCCCCTGCCGAGGCTGCAGACAGCAGACGCAGAGGAAAAGCCCCGTCTTCCCAGGAGAGAGCTGGAGGTGTAGCACTGTCGACTCATGGTGGCTGGGGGAGACAGGAGGTGAAGCGGTAACGACAAAGCAGAAGAGCAAGAAAGGAGCAGGGAGTGAAAGAAGGAGATCTCCTTTAGCTTCTCTGAGGCAGAGCCCTTCTCCTTATATACATTTCAGGAGGTGCCTGAGATGCAAAAATTTAATTTATCCACTGGGTTTGGTCTGCCTGGCAGCAAGGAATGGCTTCCAACATTTTAAACCCACAGCAAACACTTCTATCTCATACGAAATAATGTGGAAATTAAAATAAACTGCTTTGCTTGCAAGCTTCAGTTTCAGGACTTATATTTTACTTAATTAATCTGCTTCCTTATTGTGTAATTATAGTTTAGCAAAATAATTCAAGGGGGTTTTATTCATGGCTTGTTTACGGTTCGGTTTCACCACAGCGTGGTGAACATAATTAAATGTTTCAAGACCTCCTGCAAAAATGTCGTGGCAATGCAACCTCTTCCAGGGTCTCGCGCCAGCTCAGGGCTGGCTCTTGAGCAATGACCAGTGGCGACAGGGGAGAAGGAAGGCATATCTGCCAAAGCACAGCACTGACGTTGTCGGGAGCGTTCTTGTAAGCATTCATTTCTTCCTCTCGTGGGTATGGCTACGGCTCTCATAGGCAATTCGGTTGCAGCCATGTTTGCCGGCTCGCGTGCTGATAAGCGGAGCAGGACGGGGTTGGCAGTTTCCTTATCGATGGAGTGTGAACTGCACGAGATGGTGCTGAGGACGAATTCGATCATGGGGCGGATGCTCTGGCAAATGGGGGGTTCATGCACATGAGGTCAAGGCACTGGTCCAGCTGGGCTTCATGTGCCCCTTAGAATGTATGGAATTGAAGATCAGGCATTTCTGGGAAACGCTTCGCTGCAGACAGAGATTTATTGCCGAATTATGTGCCTGGGGAAGGTGATAATTGTGTTTAGTATCTGGGTGTGATGGGTGATCACCGGTGCGCACGGTGAATTCACGCAAACGATAGCTGGAGATGCAACAAAGAAGTGAAGCAAAGTGTTACAAACAGGTTGAGAAATGTTAGCTGGAGTGAACTTTTTTCCTCGTATTCCTGTGACACACCTATTTGACATTAAATTATTCTAGTAATATCTGTTAATGAGAAGGTACCATACCTTAATTAAAATTCTTTAAAAGATTTTTGAATTTGCTTGGAAACAAATAAAGTTCCTTTTTTGCCTTAACAAAGGGGTCTAATCACAGAATCACAAGTGATTGCATGGCTTGCCCTAAGAAGTCTTTGTATCTTTGCTGAGGCAAAATTAACTGGTTCTGGGAGGATTCCTAGTCAATGCTATTGTAAACTTGAAATAGGTTGTCTTGAATTAAAAATAATGCAAAGGAATTATGATGATTTAGAATATTTGTGGAGTCTCTTTAGGTAAAGATCTTCCTTTTTTTTTTTACAGGTCTCATAGTGGGTTGAAATGAACTATAAAATACTATATGCAATTATAATCATGCAGTAGTTCCGTTGTAGCTCCATTGGTCTGAGTATATTAGGATGCACATCTTGCAATGAGATGTACTTTCATTTGTGAGATTGAGATAGTTGGAGAAAGCAGATGAGCTTTTCGGCACTGCGTCCTTCATGTCATTCTGCCCAAGGTAATCCAAGCACCAGGACCTCTTGCTAGTAAGTGAAAGGGAGAATTATTTCGGAAATGTATTTTATTTTGTGCTGAAGTGTTGGTGCAAGCAGTGTGGAGGACAATTGGGTCCATGGTCTGAAGCCAGATCTGGAGCACTGCCTAGGAATAGAGCATTCATGGATGGGCTAAAACATCACATACAACATGACTTTCATGAACTCTTGTAGGTGGGCATAACCATGGGCAAGCTGAAAAACAGGGAGAAGCCAGGCCATCAGTAGCACAACTGGCTGTGGTCCTGCTTTCTGCATGACTGAGCCCTGCACACTGGCTTGATGCAGCTGCAGTGGGGCAGAGACGAGGCACCAGGGATGGTGACCAGAGATATTGGGACGCAGCTGCTGCTCCGAGCTCTCCCATCCAGCAGGAGCACAGAGAGAGACTCCAGCTCCTTTTCATGGCAAGAAGGACATGGCCCTTCATCCTTGAGGGCATTTGCCGGTTTTTCCAGCTGTGAGAAACCTGGGTCTGGTTCATATCAGGTCCCTGCTTTCCTCCATGTCTCTGCTGGGCTGCCCACTGTAGAGTGCCTTGTGCTGCATGAGTGATACAAGCACCATTTGAGGGCTGTAGACCCTCCAAGCCTCGGGTTTTGTTGGAAAGCAGGGAAAATGTCACTTGTGGGACAACCGTCCACGTTCATCCACCAGCTGCAAGCCCTGAGATCCCTTCTTACGTACGATGTGCTGCCAGGCTGTTTCCCCACAGATCGAAAGCAACAAACCTGCGCTTCAACCTTCGGCTCCTCCTCGCAGCCCTAAGAAGTGGCTTCTTCCAGGTGCCCAGCCTTGCACATCAGAGAGAGACAGTTCAGGGCAGCGCTTGTGGTTTCCATCTGCTGAGCTTTCACAAAGCCGGTTCGCAGTCACGTGGTGGAAGCCCTGAGCGCTGGTTACATCAACTTCAAAGGAGGAAGCACTCTGATGTGATTTGGTCTTCTGAAGAGGAGGATTGCAATCGCTTTTATTTCGTCGGCCACACACATGCACGGCACTGGCTCAAGTCAGACGCAAATGCCTCTTCGTAGAGACCTTCTTCATGTCTTCATGCTTTGTCCTGGTGTTTACACGTCAGATAGTGTTTGAAGAGCTGTAGAAAGGGACTAGCCTTCCTCTTTATAAGGAAGAGATGAAACTGCTGTTTTCAGGCTGAAGGGATTCAGCAAAGCTTTAAGCAGCAGCTTACACCCAGATTTACCGGGGAAACCCCTGAGGTCCTTGGCCCTAAATATGCCTTGAACTGTGGTGGCTTCCATGACACATGCCTTTGAGATTTACATGTACCCAGATGCATTAGGATAAATTAATTCTGCTTAAGTACCTTACTAAATTGGGACCTGTTAAGCCATCCATGCAGATAGGGAGAGCCTAGGGATTTTTCCAACCTCCTGTTATGATTCCAGCTGTAACAACCCAGCCATCCAAGCCTGCTTTCTCCCAGAGAGAAAACCGCTTTTTAAGACCCTCCCCTGAAAAAACAGGCTTGTCAGGGCTGGCCGTGCTGGTGCTCTCCCTCCCTCCCTGCAGGCTGGGCAGTTTTTGTGGCTCCTTGAGAAAGGGACCTCGAAGTCGCCATTAAAATGGCTAATGAGGTCCCTGGGACATCTCCCTTTGGTTTCATGGGTCCAGCCCTCCGAAGGTGGCTGTTCCTGGTCTCTTAACTGCAACTTGATTCTGCTCCCACATCAAAGCAGATGGTGGATTTGTGGGGACCGGGATAGAGATGATGGTCTGGGCTCCTTCTGTCACCACTGGGCACCTTGCTTTCCTCCTCGTAACCTTGCTCCACAGCAGCTGTTTACCCTCAGCCTGGCTTGTCCCTGGCCATTACGTAGCTTTTATGCTGCTTTGGGGCAAAGAGATGGATAAGATAATTCCTGAGGTTCCCTCCAGGCCATTCCCAGAGCATCGGTGGTCACTGCCCATAGGCACCATCTGCATTTGCAGTGCTTCCAGATAAGGCCTTGCCAAAACCTTTATCCTCCTTCTGCAGTCTCTCTGCTGGACAATAATAAACTGTGGGTGACCAGTGTCAGTCACATCACCAGTATTGGTGAGAAGATGTTGGGGTATCTTGGACGGGGCTCTGAGCAACCTGATCTAGTTGAAGATGTCCCTGTCCACGGCAGGGGGGTTGGACTAGATGAGTTTTAGAGGTCCCTTCCAACCCAAACTATTCTATAATTCTGTGATCATGGCAGTAACTAAGCAGAAGAGAGTATAGCTCCAAAAAGCAATGCCTCACGCAAGCAACATGGAGAGCTACCTACTAGCCAGAGCTGGATGTCTGCCCTGCCTGTGTCCACTGTGATGCACTGGGCATCCTTGGTGCCCTGACAGCAAATCCAGGTGCTTCATTCAGGGCAACTTCATCATATTCTGGGCAGTTACTTTATTCGTCTGATGGAAAACCTGGGCGTTGGATGCAGAGCTGCATGCATCTTTCAGACAGAGCTTCTGTGACTTCTGGATGTTTGACTGCAGTAGGCAGGGTGCCAGCAGCAGCACAAGGCAACCTGTTTGGATTTTTAAAATAGCCATTTCAATGGTGTTACCAGGTGACCTAAGCCGAGAAACACTCCTTCATAGCTCTTATTTACCATCTTATTTTGCAAGAGACAAATAGGTTTCGTACCAAACACAACAGGTGTCCACCCCCTTCCTTTGTAACGTTCCTCTTTTGCATAGAAATTTGTAAGGCACTTTTGCATCATCTGACCAACTTTGTGCTAACACTTGGGGCCCGATGGACTATTAGGGCTCTGAGTAATGGGGTGGAATTGGTATGGCAGTGTCATGATGAAAGCACAACAGCCAGGACTCAGCATTGGGAATTGCCACTGTGGAGGCAGAGCAACTGCATGCCAAGGGAGGGGCACAAGGTTTGCACTGAAAGTGTTTTTCTGAGGAAAGGCGGGCAATCCTTGTAAAAAGCAGCCATGAGAACCACATCAGATTTTGAGATTGGAAATACTGCTGTACTGTTTCACA